TTATGCGGAGGCTTTTTTTAGAGATTTTTTCCACAAATCCCCACTGCATAGCAAGTACTACGTTAATGGGGATTTATGGAATGAAATAAAATACAATTTTAGGATCCCTGTCAGTGGGGATTTGTGGAATAAACCATTTTTAATTGACCCTTAATCTGAATTAGTGAAGGGTGTGTGTATGGGATACGTAAAATTTGTGTTATAAAGTACATTGTGTTCCAGCAGAGTATGATATTTTATCGAAAATTTAAATAATCTTTGCAATTCAATCAATTTGCAATCAAATCCTAATTTTTCTATTAAAATAACAAAATATCTGCTTCGGGACATCGTCGTTCCAAATTCCATATTCTACATGTATCTGAAGCTTTTAATTGTAGCCACTCCGAAAAATGCGAAAAAGTGATTTAATTCGTGGTTTACAGATCCGAGGATCACGATAGACCGAATGTCATGGCAGACGGACGTGTTAGCTGTGGCTTTCATTGGGATGCTGGCCGCAGCCGTGTTGCTCATTGGTGCCGCGTTAATCTGCTGGTACTCCAAGTCTAAACACAGGTGAGAGTGCATTCATTTAAGAAGCCACCACAATTGTCGACAAATAATCGCATTAAGTCGATCAAAAAAATCTTTATGACCATGAGAGAAGACCAAAAAAGATGGTGTACGTTTCGCGTCCGCGTTTCGAGCGGTAACTAACATAGAACAGTGAATACAGTAGAAGTGCTTAGTTTGTGTGGCACGTGTGCCAACAGTATGCGAAGTTCCACATACTTAAGCTTATTCGCTACGTGGTCGTGTCAATTATATCGCGCAAAAGTTACGAAAATCGTAGAAGAATGCCTAATTTTACTACTTTGGAGTACAAAAATTACATAAATGATGTTATAATATTATCCATGGTGGTGTTTCATATCATCGTTAAGTTTTATTTTATTTAATTTTAATAAATTGTACCACACCAATTGCATGGTCTCAAACTATGGAATTCCCCATACTATGAGTACCAGAGCAACGGAATTAACTTTGAGGCATTTCCCAGAACACCCAGGCCAGAACCAATTTACAAAAGTTCATTTCCCAAATTAATCCTACTGAGAATCGAACCCGAGACGTCCACATTCAGCGCCCACTTTGTAAACGTTACGCCACTGAGGTCGTCAACAGTCGTCAACAGTCGTCGTCGAGGGTGTAACACAAAAGCACATAGAACATAAAATAGTACACATTGACACAAGCACATAGGTATTACTTACACACATTTTGGTGTTAATACTTACTTTAGACACCAATGTTCGTGTGGTCAGTAGGTCAGTGCTTGGAAACTTCGCAACTTGGCAACAACATCCAAACTCGGCTTTTACATTAATCAATTTATAGAAAGAAAAAGCGCTCATAGAATCTTGTGATAAATAAAAAGTGGTATAAAAATTACCAGGAGTTACTTTTTCTATTACATAAAAAATGTCACTAGGTTTAGTACAGGGGTACAGTAAACTTTTTTCATTAGGGATCAGTAAAGCAAGAAATTTCACAAGGGACATTAAAAAATGAATGTTCTTTAGAATTTTTTATTATTATTATTATTGTGAAATGTTATGTTATTTTGTGTATATATATGATATCGACGAGGCTTTCAAAATATATTTCCGAGGACCATGCACTTCTACTTTGAAAGGGACGTTAGCGAGCCAGATTAAAGCTCTTCGCGGACCGCACTTTGCCTGACACGAAGTGTGCTTTGCACGACCATAAATATATGGCTATATGATTTTTTAAATTAGTCTGGAATTATGAAGATGTTTTTAATATATTTTTCCCAATAGGCACCTTCAAAGACTGGAGAGGCGTAATTCAATCCGGCAGTCTATGGCAAGTCTCAACGGATTTTCAGATACAGCTTATAGGAGAAAGATGGCGCAAATGGTAGGAATAATTAATTAACAATTAGTTTATTGTTCACACAATCAAATTAGAACAATTTAAAAATGAAACCTGGAAGTCTACCGCGGAATACGAAATACGAAGCAACGGCCATTGTTTTTGACACGTATTTGACACGACACGAGATCGTGATTTGACATAAGTTTTTGCTCTAAAACGTCAAATGACAGTTTTCGTATGGAATTTTGACATTACTTTCATTGAGTGTGTTTCAAAACTTAGTATGGTAGTGAGTTTCAAAACTGACATATCGACTGTGAACTGGCAACCAGTACTCATATATCTGTACCAGTATTCATATATACAGTATCTCAAATTTGACAACCTTACACGATAAAGAAAAAATTGTTTGCGTCATTTATTTAGCTTCTGGTTTATTAAATAAAAATATGTAGTGTAAATGTAATAATAATATTTAAAAACTACACAACAATTTTTTCTTCACCTGTAACCACTGTGCCAGTTCACAGCCGTTATGGAGTACGTAAGAGCTTCGTTGCGAACGCAGTCACGTATAGTCTGTCTATTTTGAAAACGGAGTATAATGACAGTTCATTTTGCAAAAGTGTTGCCCGCTAGTGAATGCAGTCGATAAATATTATATTGACTATCGACTGAACGTTTTTATGAAAAATTTATGAAATAAAAAGGCGAAATTGTTACATTTGATTCATCATCAGCCCATTATACATACAACTGACGGGCACAGATTAATCTGAATGGTTGATTTTTGAAAATTCGTTCAAACATGCACTAAATTTAGAAGTAATGTGTATTAGAAATACAAATAGGCGACATATTTTAAAGTTTCTCATTTTAATTTAATCCACCAGTCGTTATTAAAATGGGTATGACTAAACATTTATTTTGGTACCTACTAATAGAACACCTGTCAAAATAAGAATAAAGAATACAATAACGCAATAAGTAATCCTTAGAACGTCATTCATAACATTCACAATTCAGTCGTTTTAGTCAAAATTTTACCTACTTTCACAATCTATCGATAAAACTATCGACAACTAACTTGACTATTTAAAATTTTACGGAAACTGGCAATACTGCAAATGTCATTTTACTTCATCTTCAAAAAAGACAGGCTATAGTACTGTTTTTTCCATCCTCTAAGCTATAGTATCATAGTTTCGTATTTCGTGGTAGACTTCCTGTTTTGGTAATCAATCTGACGTTTTCTTTAATTTGTCTGTGATTTCAGAGCACACGATCCACAGAAACGCTGACCAAAGGTTCGGATTACAAAAAGATGCTCGCCTCAACAACATCAATGGAATCTATGGAAAAGAGTCAATTCAACTCATCCTTGGAAGATAATCAAAGCTTCGACATCTACGAGGCACACAACCCTAATGCCAATGTCATGCCTCTCAAACACAGCACCTTTATGAAGAAACCACCTACTCCTGAGTACTCTATACCACAAAATAATAATAGACCATTCAATATAGCGTATCGGAATGAAGGATATAGGGACAACTCTGGTCCTGTAAGTGGAGCGCCTTCTATGAATACAGTTACTACTGAAGAACTACCCATTATTCACCATCCAGGTGGTCTGCAGTCCCCGCAAGACGACGACACGTTATCTCCTAATAGCGATTCCCAGTATTTTACTTCTGATACATTACCTTTGCGTGGGGCAGACAAGGATGAAACATTAGCGTTGAAAAGAGAGTTAGAAAGAGAAGGAAAGATATTCGGGCCGTATGGAACATCTAACTATGGAGGGCAGCCGAAACTATCTTTCCTCATGGAGTTACGATCTAAAATGCCGGATCAGCCGCAAGCGGGCGCTGTGCCTGCGACTACGTTTGGACAGAGGAAAAATATTTCAGGTAAGTCTTCATTTATGGGTTATGATTATTATAGGTTGAAGAATTTTAAAAAAATCGCTCACATTGGAATGCGTTGAAGTTTGGTTAGTGATTTATCCAAAATGACATTTGTTTTTTTTTCTATTATTAGTTTACTTAATTCTAAGTTTTTATTAAAAAACCGACTTCAAAAATTAGTGGAATTACGTCTATTTGCCAAGGTTTATTGAAATCGGTTTCCGGAAAGTGCGCGAAACCGGATTCATCCTTTGCCATCCTTAGAGGTGGAATATTTTTTTCAAATTTAAATGGGATCAATACAAAATCAGTTCACAAATAAGAGTAATCGCGAAACATACACACAAAAATATGTAGTCCAATTGAGAATCTCCTCCTTTTTTTGAAATCGGTTAAAAAAGAACACACTTAATGAACTTAATTGATAAACTAATTATCATTTGCCCGCAGACCAGCAGCAGTACTATGAAGATAATCTACCTAGCCCTCCGCATCCCCCAATATACTCGAATTACTCATCCCCCTCCGAGAACATTCCGAGTTACGACTCAAGTCCTCGCGACCTCTCTCGATCCTTCGACGATTCGCCAACTCCAGATTTCCACGGGCGATCGAAGTCTGAAGCACTGCTAGAAACGAATTTCGATTTCGAGGACAGCGATGCGAGTCCAATACCTTTAAGTGAAGCTAACCGGTCGTACAGCCAACCCTTGGAGACCGCAATGTGATTTGGAAATAACGAATTTTCGAAAATATCGGATGAAACTCATGATTTTAATGAGTAGTTTTGCACGTACTTAATAGCCGTCGGAGAGTTTCTTCCAGTAAACTTCGGTAATAACATTTGAAAACGGACTACGACATTAGAAACCAAAAACTTTTCTTGGAACATCGTCTATGGGTCTCCTTTATATGAATATGGGTTTTCTTAGAAATATTTTTGTTAATATAAAACTCACATAACGCAAAGTGAAGTTTTCCGTTGTTAATGACCAAGTTACCAGCAATGGAAGAGGAAAAATTATTCATGCTACATAATAAGGTAACGTAGCAGGATTGTTTGTTTCCCTTACAAAATCAATATAGCGGACCGGTAAAGTACGAGAAAAAGAAATACTGTACGAGTAAGAAATTTTGTAGTTGTAACATCGCATTTGGGAAGCAATAAAGCGGGTAACTGCCAAAAGTGCCTTACAGGACAGATCAAATAGGTAGTTTCATATTGTAGAAAGTGTGGAAAATACGAAATTTAATTTCTATCTAGTGTAAAAATGTTGAAAGAAAGTCGTATATATAGTTAAGCAATGAAAAGACTGAACGATTGTCTTGATCGACTAGGTTTGTATTATTTTCACGCATTTACATATCCAAAATGTATTTGTCTTTTTATAAATGTATTCCTTGCATTTAAGTTCCAAAAAGAAATTGAGTGACGTTATTTGATATAAGTGCGTGTTAAAATGAAGTTTAAAGATGGCTATTTCAACGTTTATGTCCAATATTTTGAAGACAATATATTGATAAAAGTTAGGACTAAATAACGCATAAAATTACCACAAATACACGATCTCATAAAGTAGGTAATTAAACTTTTTATTTCGGCGTTGCAATTCACTAAAAAAAAACAAATGCCTTCAAAAGATGCCTTAATTTTTTTGACGGACGTTAGCTTCTAAGAAATATATTATACCTACGTAAAGCTATGAACGTGCAATCAAAATGTTCTCTATAAAAAAGTAAGTAGGTCACATTTTATATCGATTTATAGTAATATTTAATCACAATGCAACTTAAAATATGAATTAAGTTGTGTAAATGAGTAATCGTCCGTCCTTAGTTATCTAGACAATTTCCGTGGAATTAAACATTATACTAGAATTAAGGAAACAGTCTTTCCAATACGACACTAAGTATATAATATGTTGATTTTAAGTAGAACAATAAAATTAAGTTTATTCCTCTAAATATACAAAATGTCTTTTTATAGATTATTCCTTTCTGTTCAATCACATTCATTTACACTTTTTATACTTTAATTTTGATCTACATGATGTTAGAGAGTGGATTGCAAATCTAACAACACCTGTTAGGTATCGCAAACAAAATAGGATGTAATGAAAAACAAAAAATATAGTCTGTTCTATCCCTCCAGCAATTTTGTAAGGGGATATAAATATATTGTTATTTGAATAATTTTAATTCCTATCAGATTCTATTGTCTTTGTGGTATTTACCAATTCTTATAAAGGCTTGCAAACAACTGCCTAACGTCCTGTATATAAATTTAAATACATAAAATAACTTTTAGTAATGCTTTAACTTATAAATTGTACAAAAGGTACTTTTAAGATATTGTGACAAACGTAAAATGTAATAGGTGTCTACGACGAAACATTGAAATAAAAATGTAATATTTTTATATTATGACTTATATTTCAATTACATACACACATAATACTCACACCTTTAGATTTTCGTTGAGTGTAGGCAGAAGCTGTCGATCGACACTTCCCACGACCCTAACAATCAGTGTCTATTGACAAGCTTAAATAAAAAAAATAAACGAGAATAATAACTGAGTTGTTTCTAAATTATTATCAGAATGTAGACCATAAAGGTCTGTTTAGATATTCGCGTTATTCACTACCGCTCTGGGTAGCGAAATTCGTTATTCATTATCATTTATTATTACTATGACAACTAATTATTTGGCATGCGTCTCGTAATTTTGTCCAGTATTAAATTAACGGAGAACGCGAATACAGGGCCTGTTTCGCAAAGCAAGCGAAAAGATACCGCCTACCCGGGCGGTGCGGTATTCCGGCTTCGCTCTAGCCGCGGAACTTATTATTAGCACGCAAATATTATTGAGAAATCGATAATATAGACGCAATTTTCACCGACCTAAAGTTGTAATTGCTTAAAAAACTTTACATATTTTGGACCTGATTGCACCCAGAGAAAGTAGTGAGTTAGTCTGTTAAAGTTGCAAAATTTGAGAATTAATCACACCTTAGTTCAAAAGATATGGGATATTTTCAAATAAATACACTTATAATACCTATAATAAAATAATAAAATACCTAAAAATAATAAATTTTTGAACGGCGAACCGAATAAGGATGCTTTTCCACCGATAAGGCGAGACGAGAATTGAAATCAATCTTTCTTACCCGCCTATTTCCATCAAAAATTGCCATTAATAGCTATCGCGAGCTCGGCTGTGGTTGTGTATAGTGAAGATTCAGTGGTGTTCAGTTCCTCTAGCGATAAACACGTGGCTGAAATCTCGTAAATTATTATTATTAAATATGGCAACTTAACAAAAGTCAGATGAAGCCATCTTTTTAAAATGTTAAATCGTACGTACCCCACAATCCCGCAATTCATGTTAATGTTTCCATCGCAGAGTTAATTATGAACTCTGTGTAGGAATCGATAAGGTTCAATATTACATCCACAAATATTTCAATTCACCGAAGATGCGCAAGGAGAGAGTTGAAATTTTGACACACAAATTTCATTCCTCGTCTCGCCTCGCCGGTAAAAATACCTTAAATGTAGTTTTTTTAGGTCCGACTAAACAGCGACCTTTCACCTCACTAATCCAATTTCAAAAATTCAACCATGATCTAGCAAGAGTACCTAAGGGACGCTTTATATGATAATCCGCAATCAATTGCATAAAGCATGAAAATGTAATAATGAAATCAGCGTTATTGATACTTCGGCAAAGAACCAATTCATATAACGACTTCGCGAAGTAGTTGAATAAATTACTTATTGACCGCTACATGCATAGATTTAGTATATGGGTACCTATAGATTAAATCTATGGCTACATGTGATACAAATTTAGAACAATAGAAAACGTACCTATTAGAATGCAATAATTCTTCCATTACTAATAATCGATTCGTCTCATTATTTTAAGATCGGGACGAATAGGTTGACCATCTGTAAGTATAATATTAAAAGTTATTAAATACAAAAATCTGTAAGCTGTGCCTTGTCCTTCATATTAAAGACATGTACAGGGTCAAGAGCACGCCATGCTTGACTCTTAAGATTAAATTGAACTCTATACCGCTTGCAGTTAGAACTGTTTAAAGTCCAATATATCAAGTTAATATGTGTTTGATTGTCAATACTAAAATCTGTATCACGACTGTAAGAAGTGCGCGGAATTCAGTCACTAATTTCCATTACACTCGTAAACATTTTGATCATAACATGCATAGAATGTAGAGAACTATTTATTTATTTGATTTGAAATTCGGGACTACAAAACGTTTCATGGTCTTGAATGGACATTGCAACATCCGAAACATCGAAGCAAATCAAATAATATGTTTTTATACACGATTAAGTCCCGAATTTAAAAGCAAATAATCTCAGTACAGGGTACTAAAAAACCGACCTTAAAAGTCATTCATCCTCTAGTTTGGCACCCTTAGAGCTGGAATATTTTTTTCAAATTTAAATGGGACTACTAATGAGGTACCCTCTTTCCAACAAAAAAGAATCAACAAAATCGGTTCACAAATTCCGGAGTTATCGCGTAACATACTTTGAAAAAAAAAGAAAGTACAGTCGAATTGAGAACCTCCTCCGTTTTTTGAAGTCGGTAAATAATGTGTGTAAATCGTGAAAATTTATTCTTATTTTGGAGATGCTCATAATTCTGCAATCGGTCGTAGGTAAGTTATTACTTGCTTACTTATTTATATGTATGTTCTGTGAAGTAATCTTTCTAAGACAAGTATGGAATATCGCGTATGAAAATAAACAAATAGCAAACAGAAATAAATACGTAAGATATAAGAAATAGTGGCTTAATTATTTATGGTTACCTACACTAGGTTATTAAGACTTACGTATGTTTATTGTATTATATATTCACGGTTTAATCGTTGAATGAACCAGACTCTAAATTAATTTAACATTTATTGTACAAAAAATTATGTTGAACGGACATATTATTTTGAAACTTAGTGTTTTAATTTTTTTAAATTTTGTCAACTGTGAAGTGTTTACATCGGTTGAGGATGTAGCTAGTTTGATGCTTGCGCAAGAGAATGTTATTAGCAACTTAAAGCAGTACGTTGTAAGAGAGGAGGCAAGGATACGAGCGACTAAAAGGTAAAGCCGGATTTACATTTGTCTGACGTGTCGTGTCGTGTCGCGTCACAACGTTACCGGTTTCATACTTTAATATGGTTAGATTTATATTAGTGAATCGCATTCTGACCACATTCTGACGTGACGGCTTGTGTTATGTGTATGAAACTGAAACCATTCTGACACTTCACGACATCCAGTTTAATTATATCACTTAGTTGGAAATATTGAAAAAAAGATGTTTTGCTTTGTGTATCTGTTACATAGGGCTTATGTCTTTTAAATTTTTTTAAATATAATAAGTGCGCATTTAACCTCCATCTTATCTGATGGAAAGTGACGACGAGGTCGACGATGGAGCATGCACACCTAAATAACACCTAATCATTCTCACCTTGAAAAGACCCAAGTTCATGGCATATGTCAGGCATGGAATACACTCCATAGCCGTTCGCCATATACCCCTAGTACAACGCCAATTTTGGGATCTGTTCTGGTTTTATTTCGTTTTTGTTTCTTCTTTTGTTTTTTTTTCACAAAATTCGTTTATTTCTTATTTCTCGAATTCTATTTTTTGTTTCTTTATTTTTTTATTCATAAAATTCAGGATATGTTGTTCATTGGAGGTACCGCAATGTGGGAGCGTAATTTTTGGAATATCCACAACATAGGAATGGACCCCTATCCTGAGTCACTTATAAGCCAGTCAGTTATAATTCAGGGTGGCCAGTTGGTACTTAACAGAGTCATTCCATGCTACTGCTATATGTATAGATTAGATTCATGATACTAGACAAGTTTCATCTTGGAATCTATACCTATTTTAGAAAACCATTAGCTAAATAATCGGACGATTGATACGTAAAGTTGGTTTTCTTTAAAACCCATACCTAGTACCCTTGATTCAATAAAACGGAAATAGTGTAAATATTGAAAGTTTTTCAATGTGTTCGATCTTTGTGTTAATAATCATAGTGTAAATGCTTGTTCAGTAGAATTTTGTTACAAAAAAGTATAAAGGTATGTAAACGCTATGAACGAATAGGTACAATATATTTTTAATGTAATTACGTAATTCATGTTGTCGTGTACAAGAAGTATATTTTTGACCTCACTAGCTCGGTAAGGATTTCTTTCTCATTAGATATCTGCGGGCAAAAGCATTTTCTCACGTTAGCGTGGAAAAGGTTTTTGAAATTCGAATCTGACGATGGACTATGGTGCACCCTTGGTGCACCTAACTGTTTCTTTCGATTAAAAAAAACATAATGACATGTTTAATACATAATGAATTTTGTATAATAAACTATTTTGTAATAGTTCATCTGTTTTTGTTTCATCTACCATTTTCCTTGCTATAGTGAGGTGAAAACTTGTGTGTTTCGCTCGGCAGCAAAGTTGTTTTGCGTCCCGTGGCTTGAAAGCCTCGCTACGCTCAGGTTTCTGCTTTCTTCATCTTAGAATCCTTCGATTGCTCAGGTTGCAATACAGGCACTCGCGTCAAACAACAACTTTGCGGTCTTGCATAACAAATAACTATTTTGAATACGACAAATTTTAATTTGCGGCTTGTGATTTATCCTATTTGTCTATGTGCTGATAGGTATCTACAGATGTTTATAGAAGAACACGAGAAGGCAAGTGTAGATCCTCAAAAGTACGTAGAGAACCCAATCAAAGCGTTCTCTATAATAAAAAGATTGACAGCTGATTTGGATATTGTGAGTAATGCGGCTTTATATCCAACAGGTAAATTCCAGTATCTATTTCATATTCATTAATTTTAAGCTTAATGATAACTTATTAAGGAGCAGTCATTGACTTACAATTATATGGACGTCGGGTCCGCGCTAAAAAGTGTCCGAACTTATAGGGCGTTAAAATCGTATACAGAGCGTCATTCATGCTTTAGTCTTCGTTTGTTCGACTGACAGCGAAACAAGCAAAATTAGACAGTACTGCGATGACATAAAATTTAAATTCAACGTTTTAGCTTTTTCATATTCCTTTACAATGTCACTACGTTTAAATAGGTTGACTTGGGACATTTTTTTCGTGGTTTTTGTATTAGACCTGTCGTCCATTTATTTGTAAGTCAATGGGAGCAGTAGAGCTCCTTGTGAAAGAGTTCGTCCAGAATAGTACTGCCACCATACCTATTTCTGTGGCCAAGCAACAATATTATTTTAAATAAAATATAAATAACATACCTTTCAAATTTTATGAAGTGATTAGATTCATGATATCCTTGCACACTTGGCACGCTTGTCGATTGAATCCAAGATGGCCAGTTGGTGTGCAGAGCCATCCCATAGGTGGCAGCAGTTCTCCACACACGACCGGACTTGTGATTGATACAGCAGAAGCAACTGTCCCAGTGTTTAAGGGTAAGGGTACATGTGAAACTATAGGACGCATTGCCCCTTATTATTATTTTGGATATGTATTTCACACTCTCCTCTCCCATGGCCTAAAATATACTTTTTGAATTTTTAAATGAGAGAGGCGGTATTCCTCGGCAGTGCCGCAATCGGCTGGGGTCAGGGACTCGGGTTCAAGAACCAGCGAATAATACGTGCTGTATCGAGTAGGACGACCACATTTGAGCTGGAAACAACACGCCACAGACATCCAACCGCCTCATGCTGCTAGCGAGGATGACTGGAGTTTACCCGTTGGCGGATAAAACAATTGGGATTATTTCTGTGGAGGCCACATCCCATGCTTTTAATTTTTTTTATAATATCAATTGACGGGACGAACAAGCCGTGCGCCTGATGGCAAGCTACACGCTTGTCCATAACAGTTGCAGTGCCGTTCAAAGCTTTAAATCGCAAAGATTTGACGGGCACTGCCACTGCGCCCGTCACCCTGAGACGTAAGTTGATAAGTCCCATGTGCCTGTAATTTCACCAGCACCCTTACCCTTTAAAACTAGTAAGTAATGCTGGCATTAATGCTTGGCGGCAGAAATAAGTAAGGTGGCAGTACTTCCCTGGACAACTCTTTCACAAGGAGCTCTACTACTGCTACTAAATGTCAGTGAACTCATGCGCTATATCGAGATACTTCGACGTTTCTCGGTTTCGGCTTTCACGAGCTTCTCATGTAGAACCGCTGGTCACATAGAGCCCCTATATATAGAGTCACCATCATTATCATGTCAACCGGAAGACATCCACTGCTGAACATAGGCCTCCCCCAAAGATTTCCAGACTAGCCGATCGGACCGCTGCCTATACCAGGTCATATGTACTTCTAGTAGGGGGCCGTCCGACTGAACGCCTTCCGGTTCGTGGTGCTCCGCTACTAGTGCTTTCCAATAAACTATTTTGCAGTTGGAATGCATTACGCATGCAGCTTGTGTGACTTCGCTTTTAGGTAGGTTCTTAAATTAAGTCTTAAATACAGCTTAAATATCTTGTTTCCGAACAGAGTTTACATGGGATCGGGAGTTGTTATTTCCGGGAAGTGAAGATTTAGCAGGAGCAGCTGTAGCTATAGCTCGGTTACAAGAATATTACAACTTAAAAACTGTAGATCTCGCAGAAGGAAAACTGATGGACGGTTCTGGGTAACAATTAGTTCAGTTATAAAAAAATGGTGACTTAAGTTTTTGAAACAAAGCAATAGCTGTTTTGTTTTCAGTTACGCTAAAATCTTCTTAATCTTTTATATTCTGCAGTGCAATACGTCTCACATTTCAAGTTTCTTTAAATCCCTCCCGAAAGTATACAAAATTATATGCAGACTTTATGTGTGTATACTTATAACAATTATAGTTAATATTCTATGCAACATTAAATAAATAAATATGTGATATGTTTCAGAGAACTAATATCAGATACGTAAGTATAAATAAATACCTATCTTTTTTATGCTTTCTTCGCATGGCTTAGGTTAGTGTTCAATGAACTATGAAAAAAAGAAATAATTAGATAGATAATTATGTATACATTTAAGCCATATTCTTCGGTTGGGTTTTCCTGTGCATCTCCTAATATTGTAATTTAACATTTTCTGGTAAAAATATTGCTTAGATATGGAACTGCCCGTATGTGAATATATATTAGCTATTTAAATAAATAAAATGTTTATTTCAGTAATACAATTAAATTTACATTAACAGGGGATGGTATCTCCTATTAATTGAACGTAGTTATAATAAAAAGATCCAAGTCACAATTGAGAAAATGGAAGTTAAAGTTTTCGAAAGCATAAAATTTTAACAGCTGTTAGCATTCTCAACCGATCTTCATTTTTTCGTCAAATTAAAGTTTTCATTAAATAGTTTCACATCAATTACCAAAGATTTCGTAAATTAATGACTAAGGTAGTTTTAAAAAAAATACGATTTGAATCATTTTAATTTTGTATGGCAAAAAAACTTTTGCGATTATTTTTCATTTTGAAAAAATGATCTAAAATGTGCAAAAAGTGTATATTAATTGTTTTATTTTAATTAAATGAATATAATTGCATTTTTAAGAATTTTAGGAAATCTCCGTTAATTGTCCTATGTTTTGAACTATAATAACACTACATTCCAACATAAGTTTATCATTTTTTACAGTAATAAAGATTGCATACTTAACCCAGATTTTTCGCGAAAAATGCTATTTTTTGACATTATTCGGATGCTTTAAAATATATTTAAAAATTATTTTTCTTAATTTTTTTCTTACTGAATCGAAGACTAGTTGCTTCAATAATATTTTGTTAAAAAAGACTTGACTTATTTATTGATTAGTGGTATATATTGATTTTTCGACATTCGCCGCCGCAAGTATTGTTTTTTCGCCCCTCTTTTAAATTCTTGTTCTATGCTTTATTAATTTGGGTTATAATGATAAGATATTGTTAAGTTATTAATATAATTTCAGCCATATCAACCAGAATCCTTATTTTCGAACTATTTTCGATTAATTATATCCTTTTCTATTTGTGCCTACAGTTCCCAAGAACTCTGATTTCATTCGCATTAACTACTTTAATTTGTGGTTGTCTATGTGTGTGTCCATAGCACCCGCGACACAGGGTTTCCCTAGTGCGGGACTATGTTGAGTGTGTGCGTTATTATTATTATTATTATTATAATTGGCGGTGGGCATTGAAGACCTTATACTATGGAGTGATTCATGAGGAGATCAAATAAAAGTGGCACACTTTTAATGGGTTTGCTTTTGTACACGTCTACATAATATGCATAAGTGTAAAGACGTCTATGGTGTTTCAAGGCTACTTTAATTTTTCAAAAATCTGTATCATTGGGCTAGGTTCCAAATAGCGACAGCGAATCGTTTTTAAGGTTGGTGTCCAGAGCCACTTAGCATCAATACCAATTTAATGTTCCTATTTTGACCTCCTCGTGAATCACTCCACAATATAAGGCCTTCGATGCCACGTTGCATGAGACACGAGCCAACTTCCTGTGCTTCTCTACCTGCCTCACCCTCTACTCATACATACAATAACTTGTGTCTTTAGCAGCCATGTGAATATTGGAAAAAGGCGAGGAGAAATTGACTGCGATAAATATGTCGCGGGGAGGTTTATTATTATCGCACACGATATACCGCCATGCTACGCATGATGTCATTGAGGTTAGCCTCAGTTATCGCCTGGCCATAGTGGCGTTAAACTATCCATTGTTATGTTACTATGAGGAACGACTGCTCCTTCTCGCTTAAACGCTTAAACAATCGCCTGTCGGAACCGAGAATTGAACCCGCCAAATGAAAAAGTTTCATTGCATTTTATCATGCACTTATACTATGGAAATTATTTTTTAATTTATTTTTGAATGCAGTTTGAATTGTTTTTAAAATGAAAATGAAGTCTTCTTTCAGAAAATTTGTAATCTACGGTATTTAAGGCACATACTTTCCCGCCCTGTGGCATAGCCGTGAGACACCCTGTATAATTAATTATCTTCATTACAGAGGTCCAATGACATTGAGTGACTGTTTCGAAATGGGTCGGAATCTGTACAATGAAAAAGATTACAAGTATGCTGCAGAGTGGTTCATAGCAGCGCTGGACAAAGTCGATACAGAAGATATATATGTCAACGTATCGCATATAATTTTGAGGGATATCGTGATGACTCTCCATGAGGCAAATATAACATTGGGTTTGTTGGTTTGCTATTAGAAATACATTCAAAAATATACCTAAAAAAAGTAAAAAAGGCGTATAAATATACATAGGGCGTGTAATTCATACTGTTTACGTACGAGTTATTATAATGCATAGGTACATCATCTGTTTACAAATTATTATTACGCAAATATACCACAGGGTGATTAAAAAGTATACGTTTTTATAATATTTTCTTTGCGCATGCATTCAGTTTAAGCATATTTTTTAAACCGTTTTCACTTTAATACGTTTCTTTTATGTAATGGCAACATCTTTATTTACATTTTTGATCTCAGATTAATCACGTCTTAGAAAAAAGCGTCAGGATATTTTTCAGATTATAATGTTGTTTTACGTAATTGTTAATGTGAAAGAAGAATAGAGTACAACTGTTATGTTGTTGTTATTTTGATCAAACAACGTGGAGAGATAAAAAAAACACTATTTGTCAATGAAACACAGAATTTTTCACAAGTAATGAACCTTACGCCACCATTACAGAACGTCGTCAAAGAAATGTATGAAATTGGTTAAAATTAATTTCAGATCCAAATGCCTATGAATATGCAAAGAAGCTGTTTGAAGTCTTGCCTGACGTAAATGAAGACGATACTAAAATGAGATACTACAAAGAAGCTTTTGTAAAGGATAACGCAGAAGAAGAAGAAGAAAAGCAAAGGCTGAAGGAAGTAAGTATAAAAGTATGTAGGTCAACAATTTTAATTTAATCATAGCTCGTAAGAAATTAATGAGCCATATTTTAGATCGTAAGTTATCTATGGAGATGAGGTTTGTTAAAACAACTAAAATGAACCACTTTATTTATATAAGGCATCGTTAAGTGCCTCTGTGGCCGGAACGGTTACCATCCTGAACTGCCACGCAAAGGTCCCGGGTACGATTCCCGGGCCGGGAGGAATTTTGTATGGCCTTCATTTATTTATCTCATGACTTGGGCTATAATTTGTGGTTGTATATGTGTGTGTCCAGCGAGAGGCGTAAGTTCGAACGTGTAAGCGTCGTGCATAACAACTCCCATCCCCGTCCTGTATAGAGTTATTATTTATTACATCTATTGACTTAAATTATCGAGTATATAACCAGTAATAGAGACGAAATGTCATTTAAAATGTTTGAAAACTATTCTGCCAAATCATTGCTGTGACAACTGCGCTCCGATTGGTCAGCCCGAATTCAAAACAATTAACGGGTGCCGTCAATTTTTGCACTTCAAATCAACCAGTTTAACTTGAGCCTTGCTATAATGGACGAAAATTGCAAAATTACATAATGTAATATTCAATTACCGATGAAATGTGATTCTGTTTGTTTTGTAATTAGATGTATTCCTGTTTTTCCCACACAACCGAATGGAGCAGCCCATGTTGTTAGAGATTATTATCTTTATTCCAATAAATACAGAATATTTTTTGAATATACGGAGATGTACACACAGGTCAGCTGATGGCGCTGTACTATTTCAGTTTTCTGATTTGTGATTTCAGCGCAAATGAGAGTTGATATTTAAAAGTGATATAAGGCCCATTTGCCTCATGAGTTGCCAGGGATGGATGGCCCTTATTTCGTCTCTATTTCTGGTTATATACTCGATGACTTCAATACATTTATTTTTGTGTGAAGTAAAATCTGATGAATTATTAAAAGCCACTAACAAAAGTTGTTGTTTATGATGTTAGTAATATAGTCCTGCAAGGTTATTACTATATGATAACCATAAAAAATAATAATAGTTATTAGGAGTAATATCTCTTATATTCTATAGTTAATCTTGTTTTCTCTTAACTGTATTTTATGTGTGTGGAAATAAATGGTATGTCTCCACACGGCGTACTCCCAAAATGTAAGATGATTCTTTCCGATTTCTTGTATATCATGTAGATATGCATCTATTAGAAATTATGAGTAAGAATCGAAGAATGAACTATAAATTTATTTCAGGAGAAGGTGAAACAACTGTGTCGGGGTGAAATTGCTATCTCTGCAGCGAATGCAAGCAAGTAATGCCACTTTGTTTTGTTATTATCGTATGCGACTTATTATGGGAAATAATTATTAATTCGATATAAAGCTATATACTTATGCGTCCGTATCTTGTATTGTAGGTTGCATTGTTCGTATTGGAAAAGTGTGCCATTCTTGCGGCTAGCACCGATGAAGATGGAGGAAGTTCACAAGAATCCAGACATTTTTCTTTTCCACGATGCCATTAGTGATAAGGAAATTGACGAAATTAAAAATTTCTCCATTCCAATGGTACTTACAATCAGAAAAAAACTTTTGCCTGAAAGTCAGAGAGGTGTTTAGTTCCGATAAATCAACTTTTATTTAGTGGAAATAAAAAACGTAAATCATTTTGTAGTTCCATGATTATGAATATTTGTTATGAGAAATTATTTTGTTATGGGAACTCAACACCTCTGTGAAATCTCTACCAACAAAGTTTTTTTTTGTAATTTTATAAATCTGTATCGTGTGTCATAACCACATTTCAGTATAGCAATGCTGGTCGATGTCAAATAGTGAGGCTATGTGTTAGACCTTTTTTTTTATTCTCTGGACTATGCTATTAAACTGACACTGACCCAAGCTTAATGGCAGCCATTAAGGAAATATAAATAAAAAAATATGTAATTGGAAAAAAAACTATGTTTTCAGATCTAATTCGCATTTATTTGTTTTTTCAACTAAACAAGTGGTTTGTGTCTTACAAAAAACTGCATTTATTTGATTGCAGTTAGAACGTGCTGAAGTAATAAACGGTAGCGGAATAACGAGTGCTGATAATCGAATATGCAAAAGTGTATGGTTATCGGACGAACAACTGTTGACCATAGCTTATGTGGGTTGGGACGCATTTGACTTAACCGGACTAAGCCTAGATTTCGCTGAAGCCTTGCATGTGGTCAATTATGGAATAGGAGGCTACCAAAATGAACATCAAGATTATTATCCGGTATTTAGATACACTTATAGCAAACATGCTTTCTCATCAACTGCCTCCGTGGCCGAACGGTTACCATGCCGGACTGCCATGCAGAGGTCCCAGGTTCGATTCCCGGGTCGCGAGAAATATTTGTATGGGCTACATTTATTTCTCTCGTGAGTTTGGGTGTAATTTGTGGTTGTCTACGTGTGTGTCCATGGCACCCGCGACACAGGGTTTCCCTAGTGCGGGGCTATGTTGAGTGTGTACGTTATTATTATTATCATAACCCTTTGAATCCAGACATCCTCTCACTGCGGCCAAGACACCTTTAACCGTCAGTTTATCTCAGTCTTGTGAGTCTGTGAGACTGGCAGTGAGATCCACTCCTTGAACCCCATATCCTTGCCACCTTCCGTCTGTTACCTTAGGTCGGATGGTAACAAGTTTCCTCTAGTATATACGTATATATAGGTACTCGTATTAGTGTATGGTTAGAGCTAGGCTTTTAAGTAGGAACGTAGGGTTGTTTGTGATAGGTTACAGCTGTCCCTTCCCATTTCATGTACAGCCAGCTAGCTTTAATTACACATACATGACGATACTGAACAGTAACACTCATATGACACCCATCAAATACAACACGAAGACAGAGATAAAGTTAGTTAGTTCTGTTTATTATTTCTTGTACAGAAAAAACAAAAACACATTTAGTAACAAGGAAGACACAAACAAAAGGTACTGCTTATAACAGAAATTTCTTCCTGCAGACCTAAGTACAGGAGGCGATAATTATAACGGGTTTACGTGCACTACAAATTTATGTTTTTTTTGCTATGTAGTGACGGGACAAACAGGTCGGGCGCTTGGTGGTGAGCATCACTCCAACCCATGACAGATGCAGTGGTACTCAGAGCTTTTGAAAAAATCTGAGAGGCACTGTGACTGCAGTTTTACCAACATCCTTAACCTTAAAAACCGGAATACTTACACTTTCCCCTTAAAACAATCGTAACATATTTAGGTACTATGTGTATTTCGTGTACTATTGAAATATGTTGTGTCTGAAGTTCCCGGACCGGAAGAAATATTTGTATGGCCTACATTAATTTCTCTCGTGAGTTTGGGTGTAATTTGTGGTTGTCTATGTGTGCGTCCATGGCACCCGCGACATAGGGTCTCCCTAGTGCTATGTTGAGTGTGTGCGTTATACCCCGCGTGCAACTAGTGCTTCTTAGTAGCTATCTAGACGAGGACCCATAGAGGGTCTAAAGCGAGAAGACGTGTGGGGCACTTGACTTGCGTAAAGCTGTGTGAGGTTTTTATAGTACACATAGAAATGAGACTCCAGTGACTGTTATAAATTATATTATAAGATCTTTCACTATAAACCAAAACAAAACCACGTCTCTTCTAGTCGAAGATGTTTTTCGGTATGGCGGCCCGTTAGCGTTCCCGTTGATACGATGATGATCATATCAATACATTTCTTATTTCAATAAAATTAACTCTCGATGAAGCAAAGTAAGTTTTGTAACAAAATAAAGTACCAAAATTAAAGTAACAAAATTACATTAATGTCAGGATTCGCTAACAGTTAGAAGTTATGTCCGAACACTGTCGCGGGACACTGCGACTGATATCTCACGTACTAGTCCGGATAACTAGAGAATAATCCAGCCTCATAGGAAAAATAGGAACTGAATAGACATACGCAAGGGCATCGGGAAGTGAGCATGCCAAACAGTTTTGGTACCTATCTATCTGGAAAATAGGGAGGGTGCTGTATGTGCACACGGGGCCTTTTGAAAGCCGGATGAAGTCCGTGACAACGGTCTATGACAAACCTGTCTACGTGCTGATCTGGGGTCAGAACCTGCACTTGTAAGGTGTTTGCACAGGTTATAGTGCCGGTGTAACTGTAAGGTTGTAAGGAGGGTCACTATAAACAAAACTCACTTAGAAAGATACGACTGACCTTATTTATTTGTGATGTGCACGCCCCAGAAGGGGAGAGATTACCATAGGCATAAGGACTGCATCAAAAGTTTGTGCTACTTTCGGCCCATATAATCAAGGTTGGTAGGTTTCTTTTTTATTCAAAATTTTTATGAAATATCATTCTGTTATATAAATTAATATACTTAAAGAGGCGGTTGGGTGTAGGTATCTGAACAGAAAAAGTGATTTGTACTGTGGGAGCGTAGCCGTGGGTTTAGCGTTGCAAGAGGTACTTTTTAGTAAGAAACGAGGAAAATAATCATAAATAAATTTGTACTGCGTGCGCTCAGCTACAAAATTGGTCTACAACAACCGCGATGTTAATTTTACCACAATGCTCTTTTATTTTTATACAATTGTATATACAAATTTATATTTATATAGACAGTCCAAAATCCTATCTATGATACCTGTTACAGTACCACAATAAAAAATATTGTGCCCGGACAACCACACCAATATCTGATCTCGAAATAGGGAATTCCCAGCATTACGAACACCAAGCAATGAAATTCATGCCAGGACACTACCCAGATCCTACGTATTTCGATACTCTGTAGTTGATTAAAGGCTTGAGAGAGCAATGATACGGACAGATATATAGAAGGCTTTCTGTCTCATGTACGATGGCCGGCAATGTATTTGCAATATTAAAGATATTTCCTTAGCATCTTGAATGTACTTACATCGAGTGCTTTACATCGTATTCGTAATTTAATTCCACCTAAGTACTTCTTTTTTACAGCGCATTAGTATTCTTGAAGAGGCTGGAAACAGAATAGCAACTATATTATATTATGTAAGTACTAGTCTACCGCATTTTATTTTTTTATATATAAAATCAAGTGACGGGACGGACAAGCCGTGCGCCTTATGGTAAGCTACATGCCTGCTTTAAATCGCAAAGATCTGAGGGGCACTGCCACTGCGCCTGTAATTTCACTAGCACCCTAAACCCCAAAACCGGAACACAGTAATGCTGACATTACTGCTTGGCAGCAGAAATAAGTAAGAATAAGAATACTTTATTGCGTAAGCACCGAGACACACATGATCTTAAAATTAAAATAGAATATTATAAACTTTAAACTAAAATACAGGAGTTACAACAAAAGTTAAAACATAATTATAATGATTAAAACAAAATAAAAATAAAAATAAAAAAATAAAAAATGTAATAATAAATGCGTGTCGCGGCCCACGCAAACGGGATTTGCTCAGCTATTAGCTACAGGCTCATAGATTTCAGCCTGCAGCGCTGGTTTTCAGCAAGCCCGATATGAGTGAAGCACGGACTCGAGCACAAACAAAACAAATACATGCATAACATGTGCGTGAGACTTGGTATATATAAGATGGCATTATTTCGCTGGACGAACTCTTTCACAAGGAGCTCTACTGCTACTTAATTTTAATTTATGGACAAGTGCAAACAAAAATTACTGTTTGGCGCAGATACGCGCTTTTTACTAATACTACATACGCGGATTTGCACTATCCGCGACGTGATACCCATCGCCTCCTAACAGTATATGTTCGTTTATATTCGCTTTACTGTTGCAAGTGTTATAATCTCAATAAATTTGCATTGACACAGATGTCAGATGTCAGTCACGGCGGAGCAACCGTGTTCCCTCAACTCGATTTGGCAGTGAAACCGAAAAAGGCAACGGCCTTATTCTGGATGAATCTATATCCCAATGGAGAACACGACACAAGGGCAACACACGCGTCGTGTCCCGTGTTATACGGAAATAAGTGGCGTACGTATCTAATGCTAATATGTATTACAATTATCGTAAAAGCTGAATTAGAAGTAATTAAAAAAAGATTCAAAATCTATACTCAAAATTAATCTGTAAGCAGTAAACTATAATATTATCGATGAAATAATAATAGTTATTATCTACAAAAACATATTAAGGCTTTGGAAACCAACGATTGAATAATTTTTTCACCACTCTCTTATTGGAGTATATTAAGGTTGATACTGACTGGCGTTACGGGGGGTAATGTACCATTCGCACCTAGCATGATAAACGTGTCAACACGCTCATTTCGAATTCTTGGCTCGCCTGTGCTCCAGATTCGTTGCCACTCGCAGTCAAGATGTCGGACAACAACAATGTGTTGAGATTTTACTCAATTATTGTTTAATCCAAATTAAGATTCTAGATTACCCGGGTTCCACAAAACTGGTTCTTCTCTATATTTGTCTATGAAATACAGTTTTCTTTTGTCCCACTCCATCTTTTTAACAACAAATAGTCACAACTAATAAATGGCCCGAAATTCGTAAAATTGACGCTTGTGCTATGTGCACTCGTGACGACTCGCTGCGACGTACTACTGACTAAAGCGTGTACCACTCAAAGGATTCGCCAAAAAAACTAACTGCGGGGTGGAGCACTCGCAGTGCTTCGCTCGTTACTCGCTGCGAACGCCGTCGTGTTTAACTGTACTGACTGCACGAACGCTCGCTGTGTAACACGTTACATTACGCCCGTAACGCCGCCGGACAGTACCCACCGTTACGTTACTTTTTAAAATACTAACAACCTAGTCCATGAGTTGTTACAAAACATAATAAATTAACCAAAAATAAACTTTTAAGTTTTGTTGGACTGTCTGACACTTATAGATCTGTATTTGGTAGTACAGTAAGTTCAAAAGTTCAAATGAAACAAACTTGCAAGCGTCCTCCGCGACGACTCCCACCCCTGTCCTGCACAGAGTTATATTACCATTTATAGCGATCTATTTCAATATATTTATTTTTGTATAAAAGCAAAATCTGATGAATTGAACAAAAGTTATTGTTTATGATGTTAGTAATATAGTCCTGGGAGGTTGTTACCATAACACCCTGTATATCATAATAATCCTTGTTATATATAATCTTTGCGCTTAGAGCGGTATATAGAATAACACTAATACCTAAATATTTTTAATAAGAAGGTGTGCATTGTCAATATGTAGAAATTAATTATAATTTCACATGTAACTTCCATTTACAGAATCTGCAATACGGTTCCACGAAGTGGGTCAGGAGCTCTTGCGGCCGTGTCCTCTGGTGCGAGAAACGAAGCAGTAGACATGCATGGTGTAAAATTTATTACAGATGTTATAAATATAAATTGAGAAATATATTTAAAGAACAGTTTTGTTTCATTGCCTCATTATACCCTTTAATAGCAAATTGTAATGCGTAGTATAATTTATCGCTTCCTCTGTCTTTTTCTCCAAACAAACGGACCTTGAGGACCGTGAGGGACAATATGTGTATGCTCGGACTAATTCGCTCGCTACAACGAAAGTCGACCTATATCACTCCTGTGAAGTTGACCACTCCCTTAAACTCCTTTGTATATTGTTACTATTCCCATTCTCGACGTATATTCGGGGAATACGTACGTATACGTAAGTATACCCGAGGAACAATGATGTTTTTAAAATTTTTTGAGGTGGTCAACTTCACACTGCCATCACAAAATGGAGTGATTCTTTTTACGGCAATCGTTAGTATATCGTAAGTATACTCACACTCGTCGTAAGTAGGTATACCCGGATACATATTTTTTTTAACAAAAACAAAGTATAGTGGTCAACTTAATTCATATGTGAAGTTGACCACCACCATACATTTTTCCAAACGGACCCGGAAGCAGCTTACGTTGGTCGACAGCAAATCGTTAGTATTCGACGGTGTTGTCCCAAGAGAAGAATGATTTAAAAAACTGACCTGTAGAGACCGTTTCTGGGTCCCGTTTAGGGGGTGGTGAACTTTGCATATATGTATATTTCCGGAATGAATTAGAAAAAAAATACTAAATGGTCAGAAATTAATTTATTGTTTCTCAAAATATTCTCCGTTAGCGTTAATGCACTTTTTCTTACAAACGAACCAATTTTGAAAACATTTATGCCACTCCTCCGTGACAATCTGTGAAACAATTTTTTCATACTCTTTGACAGCCTCTTCAGGTGATGAAAATCGTTGACCGCGTAACTGGTTCTTAATTTTTGGAAATAAATAAAAGTCACAAGGTGCTAAGTCGGGACTGTACGCGGCACGCCTCATAAGGTCAACGTTGTTCACCTTCAAAAATTCATTTGTCTGTCTGGCCGTGTGAGAACTGGCATTATCGTGGTGCAAGATGATACGGCGTTTACGGTTATTTTTACGGAGTTTGTCAATAACTTCAGCAAACAAATGGTCGTGTACCAATCACTATTCACGGTACAGTTTTATTAAAAAAACAGCAATCATCTGCTTAGAGGCACTTTGTACACGCGCCACTTTGTTTGGTTTCGGCTCATCTCGAAAGACCCATACGCTCGATTGCTCTTTGTTTTGGGATCGTAACTATAAATCCATATTTCGTCACCTATTACTATCTCCCACACCAAATTTGACGCCCCTTCGTTGTATCTGGTAAGCATGGCATTGCACCAAGTGACGTGATCCTTTTTTGAGCCTCAATCAAATTGTGTGGGATCATCGACAGCACAGCTTTTTCACACCCAAATGTTTGTGTAGTATTGATTGTATTTGACTCATGCCTATACCCAAAGATGCCCGAATCTCATGGTATATCACATGCCTGTTTTGATCATACGGCGCACAGCATCGATGTTTTTGTTGTTCACAGTAGTGGACGGGCGACCATCACGAAATTCGTCATTGAGATTTACACGACCGCGTTTGAATTCTGCAAACCAGCTATAGATAGTTGTGTTGCATGGTGCTTCATCGTCAAAAGTTTGAAGCCGAGTGAAGCTCCGCTGAGCTGTTAAAATACATTTAAAGTCGTAGAAAATCATACCACGAACATTTTCACGAGTTGAATCCATGGTGATGTAGATAACCATTTTCTAAAATGATGCTATAATATAAATACAAGTGACAGTCAGATGAAACAAACTGTATTCTACAGCCAAAGAGTTCCATTTTCAAATGTTGTAATTGCTTGTTAAATATTGTTTATGTAAGTGACCAGTTCCGGAAACTTATAGTGCGCCCTGTGTACACGCAGACGATGGGCGTGCAAAAATTTCTCCTAATCCCAGTCACCGTAGTCTGGTAGCTAGCAGAAATAAATGTCATTCATAATTATTCAACAACATCATATAGGTAGGTACTTTGAAAGTTTATTTTCTCATATGTTTCAACGCGTGTGCAAAATCCAGTTGTTAAACACTAATGTCGTTATAGACGGGTTATAGATCTTCTAAAACGCCTTATGAATCGATAACAGAAAACAATGGTTTCAATTACTAAGCTAATGCCGTGGAACAGAGGTGCTTTGCTGGACCCGAAATAACCAAGAACTTATGTTTAACCGTTCACGCGAACGACGTTTTTTTAACAGCTTTACAAAAAAATATTAACAACAAAGTCATCCCAACGTTTTTTATTCGCTTTACATAAGTAAAAAAAATTACAATGAACTTTGTTCGTATTTTGAAAATTGGTGTTTTTTTACCTTTAAATGTGCCTGTTGTTAAATATGAAATGTTTACTACCTTTGGGACTGTAAAGGTCTTGTTCAAAACACAAGACAATCAATGTGCTTAAAAACTTGAAGCTGTATATTGACGAAGAGGAGAAGAGACTTAAGATTTTAAAATGGTATAAAATACAAATATTTTTCAAAGTATTTGCCTTCATATTGCCTACTACACAAGATTTTTTAGTTTTTTTTACAACTATCAAATTTTTAGGTATCCAGGTACAAACGTTTACAATTGAACATGAACAGGCAAACAAAAATACACAAAAGTACGTAGAGAACCCAATCAATGCTTTCACTTTAATAAAAAGGCTGTTAATTGATTTCGAACATTTAAATAAGGTCGCTTCAAACCCAACACGTGGGTTTGTGATACAAACGCAGTATTATAAATAGACTTAAGATTTATTTTACTATTTTGTTCTCATCAAAGCTGAACTATCACATGCGTATTGTGCAGTCATCTAAACATTCTGAACGTTCTTGGGCTCGTAATGGACGGTACTTTGCTTAGCGGGAATTCAAAACACAAAGTGTTCATTTCGCTGGTAGATTATTTCGCAAACCACATATTTGGAGGGAAAATTGAAACAAAAACAGCGCTACTATGAGATTATTTTCTATTACATTTAGTGAGCTATCATACTGCTTGTGAGTAACCAATAACCACTTATGTAATTCATCGAGGTAAAGTGCTCATTAATATGCTTGGTAATTAAAATTTGTAAGTACAAAGAATGCCCCTGTGAAGCGTGCCCGGCGCTAAGCTGGTGTTTAATGTTTAATAAAATAAGCTATTGGTGAATTCGCCCTTTTCGTCATCAGACTGCACGTGGGAGCGGAATTTTCTATATCCATTTAAGGAGAACTTAACCGGTACAGCCGTGCCTATTGTTAGGCTGCAAAGAATCGCTGAGGAAAAGCCGATGACCACTTACAGGTAATAAGTTTTTCTCGACAAACATGAACGAATTTATTGTTGTGTTATATACTTGGATAACAAAAACATAAATTTTTTTTTAATGGTAATGTTAAAAATGAATAGAGAAGCTATTATTACACTATTTCCGATGACTTTGGAGATGCAATATGTAATTTCAGTTTTCAATACACGTGTTTCTTGAATGTTTTGTACGATTATTGACTGGCAGACTTTACTTCCACTGTTAAGTCCAAAAATGTAAACAAGGATCAAATTACACAAAAATGTTTTACGAATAGTGGAAAAGTGAAAAGGGTTGAACTCAGTATAAAATTTGAAATAAGTTTAATATCAAAGATTAGGGTTGTTGGTTACCTATAAATAATGTCTACAATGAAAAATTTAAATTAAAAAATTATATTCTTAAATGATTTTTATTATACTCATGCTTTTGGATTACTGTTGAGGGTAGGCAGAAATTATCGATCGCCATTCTTTCAGACATACAGTCTTTACTGACATGCTTAAATCAAAATATAAACTGTCTCCATGACCGAACCAGTCTGGTCTATCACGCAGACGGGGTTGATTCCCACATACGTGTATGGCACTCGCGATAGAGGGTTTCCCTAGTGCGGGTGTGCGTTATTATTATTAAACCACAGTAATAACTGAGTCGTCTTTAAATTATTATCAGAATATAGACCATAACATTACTCCTGCTCTATATTGTAATCCGCAATCAATATCATAATGACAATATGACAATGAAATTTGCGAAGATATTCCGGTAAAGCATCAATTCATACATATATCGAGCACGCGATGTAGGTGAACAAATTATTTGTTGACCGCAACATGTGATAAAAATTAGAACAATAGGAAATATATTTGAATGCAATAATTCTTGAATTACTAATTAACGATTCGTCTCATTATTTTAAAATCGGAAGGTATAGGTTGACCATCTATAAGTAGGTATAAGTAATACCTATTGAAATCGTTAAAAAACATAAACATCTCTAAGCCTTTTTAAATCTTTTCGTACTGATTTCTTTTTCTTTTTATTTATACTAACTAATAAAGTCTAATCATAAATACATTACAATCTAACTAATTAAAGATTAAAGACAATTTAAAATGTAGTAGATTAGAAATGGGGTAGATTAAATTCAACTGTATATCGCTTGGGATAAGAATGTTTCAAAGAATAAAGTGTGCGGACTCCAGTCAATAAGAACGAATATAGAAACTACGAATTTCCGTTACCCTCGGAAATATTTTGATCATAAAATATTCATGATGTGGAACAATTTATTCTTATTGTGGGCACATACTTTTGCAATCGGGCGTAGGTAAGTTATGACTTGCTTATATATCGTCCTGTGAACCAGATTTTCTATGACAGAACTATGGAATATAATATAGAATAAACAAATGACAAAGTGCAGTAAACTAGAACTTTTTTCTTTTGATGTATGTTACGCGATAACTCTTTTTTAAATTTTGTTCGCCGATTTGGATGATTCTAATATAGGTATATCTTTCCGCTAGTGAGGTATATATATATATATATATAATTTAAATGGCCCCCATTTAAATTTGAAGAAAGTACTATCTCTAAGGGTGGCAAACTAGGTGATGAATTTTTAGAAGTTTTTTTAGTGCTATGTACTGAGAAAAAACATACAGACGAATCGTGAACCTCCTCCTTTTTTGAAGTCGGTTAAAATAAACAAATGACAACCACAGAAATGATTACATAAAATATGCCAAAGAAAGTGGCTTAATCATTTCAGATTTATGGTTACTTACACTAGGTTTTTAAGACTTACGTATGTTTATCGTGTATATTCACGGTTTATACTTTGAATAAATAAATTTAACTTTTCAGTTACGTTAAAATATCTAAATACCACTTTTCAGACTCTTTATGTTAATTTATCATTTATTGTACGAAAAACTATGTTGATAAGATATATTATTTTGAAACTTGGTGTTTTATTTTTTTTTAATTTTGTCAACTGTGAAGTGTTCACATCGGTCGAGGATGTAGCTAGTTTGATGCTTGCACAAGAAAATGTCATTAGCAACTTGAAACAATACGTTGCAAGAGAAGAGGGAAGGATACGAGCGACGAAAAGGTAATTACATCTCTAAATCACTGGCGAAGGATTCATAATTGTCCTCACTTAGTAAGAAATGGTTTTTCCAATCTACCCATCGCTACTGCTATATAATATTTAAAATAAAATACGTTTGAAATTCCATGAGAAGACGTTTATACATGATACTGAATAAATAGGTATCGCTAAGGATCATAATGATCGCAAATTTGCAAAACAATTTACTAATAGGACAAATGCTAGGTAAATCAGCATTTTGCAAAATATATAGGAATATGGCACTGGGCGGGGCACATACCTCGTAGAACTGACGGCCGTTGGGGTAGAAAGGTTCTGGAATGGAGACCACGAACCGAAAGGCGCCCTACTAGATGGACGGATGACCTGGTAAAGGCGGCAGGTAACCGATGGATACGCGTCGCGTCCGGCCGGCTAGTCTGGCAATCTTTGGGGGAGACTTATTTTCAACAGTGGACGTCTTCTGGCTGATATGATGAATCGAAAAACAATCCGTGTATTGCTTGATTTTCCATACTTAAACATTGTTTATGTTTTTCTTGTTGAAGAGTAGAAGAAATAGGCTTTGTTTTGCACGACGATTTCTTAACATGTGTGTATGTGCTAACAGGTATTTACAGATGTTTATTGAAGAACACGAGAAGGCAAGTGTAGATCCTCAAAAGTACGTAGAGAACCCAATCAAAGCGTTCTCTATAATAAAAAGATTGACAGCTGATTTGGACATTGTGAGTAATGCAGCTCTTTATCCAACAGGTAAATTCCATTTCATCTATTTAATATTCATTAATTTTAAGCTTAATGATAATTTATTAAGTAGCAGTAGAGCTCCTTGTGAAAGTGTAAGTTCGTCCACAGAAGTAAGTACTGCCTTGTATCCACCGAGTTGGAATGCATTATAAGTTTTACATTTCGTTTGCCAACAGAGTTTACTTGGGATCGAGAGTTGGTATTTCCGGGTAGTGAAGACTTAGCAGGAGCAGCTGTGGCTATAGCTCGGTTACAAGAATATTACAACTTAAAAACGGTAGATCTCGCAGAAGGAAAAATGATGGACGGTTCTGGGTAACAATTTGTTCAGTTATAGTAATTGTAAAAAATTGTTCTGTAGCGTGTAAAAGTGGATTCAGGTGCTAACGAGAAATGAGCAAAACCAAAGAAAATGTACTTACAGTTTGCATAAGGCGACAAAAACAAGTGCTTTCAAATTTGACTACGAAGATTGTATAAAATACAAAATGATTTATAACCACTGCTGCGGTTGTAGCAAAAGCTGCAGTTATGCGTTAAAGGTTTTTTAAGTTAACGAATTTTTAAAGTTCTACTTATAGCTAAAATTTCCATATTCTATTCATACTTTTATAATTAATCGTATGTTGTTCGGATTTTTTTGTGCCACTGTCCACCTACTAGACGTAGTTATATGTTTTCCAGTGTTCATAAATTCCTGTCAAAAGTATATAGTTTTTATACATAGGGCGAAAGCGCCATTTCGAAAAATTTTTCAGGAAGCATGTTTTCGATTTTAACGACTCTTTAAAAATTTAATTTTAGTTATAATTAAGTTTAAGTTTTAGAATCCGTGCTGTTTTTACCACCAGCTATCTAGCTACCTTTGAACCAAAATAACTTTTTTCTTTTAAAATTTTATATTGTCTATGTAAAAATAATATTTTCATGCTCTTATTTTAAGAATGAGCGGATTTTGAATTTATAATTTATGAAAAACGTCCAAAACTGGTGAATTGTGAAATTGTGGAATTTTACTATGATAATGCTAAACCACACACATCTTTACAAAGCCGTCAAAACTATTGCACTTAAGTAGGGATGTGTTACCACGTCTACCGTATTTGCCCGACATAGCCCCTTTAGACTTTCATTTGTTTCGGCTTTTAAAATTCTTTGAACTGACAAGAGTTTGAAAACAAAGAGACCACCGAACGACAATTAGAGCTGTATTTTGTAAGTAAGGATAGGAAATTTTTATGAAAAGGGAACTCTAAGATTATCTGAAAGATGGCAAACAATTGTAGATCAACATGACTAATACGTATTTGATTAAAAACTGATATATTTTATTAAATATAAATGTATATTCCGATATTGCTCGGAATTTTTGGTCGACCTAATATAGTTAATATTCTGTGCATCATTATTGTTACTATTTGCTGAAATTTTCTCTTAAAAAGTAAGTGGATATTTAATCATTTTTGGTGATATGTTTCAGGCAACTGATTTCGGATACGTAAGTACCTATATAAAAATATATTTGTTTATGCTTTCTTCTTAACGCATGGCGTCAGTATTTATCTTAGGGGATGGAAAAAAATAAATAGTCTGAGGTACTTAATAAATCATAATAAAAAACATAATATGTGTTATTATTAACTATGATTATGTATGTATATACTTTTATATTCGTAATGTAATCGAAATTTACATTCTTCTATGTGCTTGTTGTCGGATCTTTCTATTTAATTTTCAACGACTTTTTAGCCGTAGCTCCATCTATGAGAAATCTATGAAAGTATTTCGTCACCCAGTTAGATACCTTTACACCTACCAGCCGCGTCTAGAGACATCGCTATTCACTATAATGATTTTTTTATTGAATTGATAATCAATTATTTTTGTGTTATTACTAGTTAGTTGTAATTATTAATACAAAGATCGAATACTTCGACCTGCGTCTTCTAGTAAGCCGTGTCAGACGCTATGCCAACTAAGCAATGGAAAATGTAGTGTGAACCTACGGACCCCTATCATCTTCATCTCTCTCATTATACGTTTTCTAGGAAACGCCCTTAAAAGTTAGTGGTACTCTTTCAGGAATCAGAAAAAGTAAGGGCGTTTTCTGGAATACGTATAATGAGAGAGATATAGATGATAGGGGTCCGTAGTTTCACACTACAGCTTCTTTTATCGAGTCGAGAGAGTCGAGAGGTTTTCTCGATTATTACACATAGAAAATGAAACTATTTTTTTGATATAAATAGCCTATATTTGTTTTTAGTATCTATAAAAAATAGGGTAGTTAGCACATAACTGCCTGACGACTTTATCATCATGGTCAACCGTGACCATGGGAAGTAAGGGGCCGCCGAAACATTAGTTTGTTTGAAAAATCAAATAAGTATACGCGATTTAGACCCAAAAAAGGCTTCTCTTGCCATTTCTGCACGAGGTATTCTAATACACCTACGATACTAATCCGTGTGGCCATTGGTCATATATCATCATACAAATCATTTATTCCTAGAGTTTGAACGCTTGATTGAAAAACCAATTCAGTGGCAAAGGTAGCATTACGTTATAAAACTGACTCCATTACAGAGGTCCAATGACATTGAGTGACTGTTTCGAAATGGGTCGGAATCTGTACAATGAAAAGTATTATAAATACGCTGCGGAGTGGTTCGTAGCAGCGCTGGACAAAGTCGATACAGAAGATATATATGTCAACGTATCGCATATAATTTTGAGGGACATCGTGATGACACTCCATGAGGCGAATATAACATTGGGTTTGTTGCTTGCTATTAAAAATAAAGGTGTATAAACGTATCTACATAAGGCATGTTATTCATGCTCTGTATTGCATATATCTACCATTTGGTGATTTGAAAAAGAATAACGTTTTGGAAATATTAAGTTTGTATAAATGCATTCAATTTAAGCATAGTTTTAAACCTTTTCCACACCTTTATTTACATTTTTGGTCTCGGATTCAAACGCTCAATATTTCACTGTTCCATTTTTTTAGTAAAAGGTTTAAAATATTTTACAAATTTCAAAATGAAATTGTTAATGGGAAAGCAGAATAGAAAACAATTGTGCCAGCCATTGTGTTTGTATTCATTTTGTTGTTATTTTGATCAATTATCAGAGATATCATAATATCAAAACTGTATTGGTTGACAGACAGAACTTCTCCGCTCCTTTTCATAGGTAATAACTTTAGGCTACAATTGAAGAAATGTCCTAAAATAAATTTATAAAATCTTTTAAAAATAACTTCAGATTCAAATGCCTACGAATATGCAAAGAAGTTGTTTGAAGTCATGCCTGACGTAGGTGAAGACGATACTAAAATGAGATACTACAAAGAAGCTTTTGAAAATGATAACGCAGAAGAAGAAGTAGAGCAAAGGCTGAAGGAAGTGAGTATGAAACTAAAAAATTTCCATTAATTTGCCAGTCAGAAATTTTAATTTATTTTTTTTTAACGCACACACTCAACATAACCCCGCACTAGGGAAACTCTGTCGCTGGTGCTATGGACACACACATAGACAACCACAAATTACACCCAAACTCACGAGAGAAATCGAGCCTGGGACCTCTGCGTGGCAACCGTTCGGCCACGGAGGCAGTTAACAATAATTTAATGGACCATTTTATTGACATAAGGCATTGTGTTCTCTATCTAGCTATATCAAAGTTATAACCTAGGTATCAGGACAACCTCAGAAAATAGGAGTGTAGCAGGCACCAGACGAGACAATGTCAAACCCACTTCCGTTCGACATTCAGACACGTCTTGGTGCAAGCAAAATACTAATGAAACAGTGTAAGATAACATTAAGACGCAAGTGTAAAATTTGTATAAAAAAGTTTCTCACATACAGTACAATCAGAATATACCAAACCATTAACCGGTGATCTCGACTACTTTCATCTGCACCATGGTACACGGAAGTATAGGTTCTGACAGCACTAAGTATACAAGGTTATTTGTAACTAGGTTATTTTTACTCGCAGGGCTGTATTTCTAACATCATAAACAACAATTAATAGATTCAGGCGTTACTTTGCGAAAGTCCATGTTAATAAAAATGGAAGTGAATTAATTTGCTACTCCGCGAACCCAGTTAAGGTTAAATCGTGCAAAATGGCTGAGCTTGTGATGAATATTTTTTCATGCAGTTAATTATCCCACCCTTCCTCCGCTTATAATTAATAAAATAAATAACACAAGCGCAACTACACTGACGAGTCCCTGAGGATGCCTCGTGAAGAGGCGGAACACGTGTCAGATATAGTTTTGGTGGTGGTTTGAGACTAGTTGCGCTTGTGTTATTAATTTTATGCGGAGGGAGGGTGGGATAATTAAGTAATTGCATGAAAAAATATTCAACACAAGCGCAGCTATTTTGCACCATTTAACCTTCACTGGATTCGCGAAGTAGCAAATTAATTTACTTCAATTTTCATAAACAACAACTTTCGCTTAATAATTCGTGAGATTTTACTTCGATACAAAAATAAAAATACTAAAATACATCGATCTAAACAGTGATAACTACGTGCAAAATACTAGCAAATACCTATCTAAAAAGTGTCAGATAGTACAAAAATACTTAATTTTTAGTAAATCTAGCATGTTTTGTCAAAAGTCACGGAACAAAAGTTGTCGTTTAGGATGTTAGTAATCTAGTCCAAACTATATCTCCACACCGCGAAGTCCCTGAACGTTAGATTCATCTTGCTTGGATATTACGTATACATGTATACTAGAACTATGAATTTATTTCAGGAGAAAGTAAAACAAATGTGTCGGGGTGAAATTAATGTCTCCGCAGAGAATGCAAGCAAGTAATACTACTTTTTCATCATTGTAGCATAACCTTCATTATGGCAAATAAATATTCATTCGAAATATAATTCCAATTGTATCGTGTATTGTAGGTTGCATTGTTCGTATTGGAAAAGAGTACCGTTCTTGCGGCTAGCACCGATGAAGATGGAGGAAGTTCACAAGAATCCAGATATTTATATTTTCCACGATGCCATGACTGATAAAGAAATAGAGGAAATTAAAAATTTCTCCATTCCAATGGTACCAGAACAGAAGAAAATCTTTTGGATGGGAGTTAAACGGAAGTGTTTATAGTTCCCTTAACAAAGTTTTTATTGTCGTGGAATTCTAAAGCGTCTGTAGCATTTTGTAGTTCGATGACAATAAATATTTGTTATGAGAAATAATTGGATAGGGGAACTAAACACCTCCGTCAACAAGTTTTTTATGATTGCATGATCACAAATCTATCTATAGTTATTTCTTTTTTTTTTGTAATTTTATAAATCTGTCTTTGTGACCACACAAAGTCTGTTAAGGATACTTTTTTAAATCTAAATTGCGTATATTTGTTTTGTCTAATCAACAAACGATTCGGTCCTACCTAATAAAACTACATTTATTTTATTGCAGCTAGAACGTGCCAAAGTAACATACGCTAGCGGAATAACATCGAGTGTTGACAATCGTATATGCAAAAGTGTATGGTTATCGGCCAATCAACTCTTGATCATAGGTGATGTGGCTTGGCGCGCATTTGATTTAACTGGACTAAGCCTAGATTTCGCCGAATCCCTGCAGGTGCTCAATTATGGAATAGGAGGCTACCACCATGAACATCAAGATTATTATCATGTACCTACTTACACTAATACTTTCTCGTGTAGGATCTTTTTTATGATATAGTGCCGCCGCACACATCGTCCATTTCGCCGGATTCTCCAAGTGTTACCAGCGTTAGACATGAAAGTAGGACGATATAATACCATCTTTAACTTTATAATTACTTTGATTGACAAGTCACGATTATATATATAAAAAAGAATAATACGCGTCAAAAAGATCCTTGAAATCACAACCGCTAAACATTTATAAAATACCTACTATTAGACCTAATATTAGACTACCTAATACTAGATCTAGCGATTATGTCGCTAAAACGGCAACACTGGCGGGCAAGGAGAATTCGGCAACTATGGTCGAGTGTGTGTGGGAAGTGAGCGACATGCGACACTAGCAATGAGCGCTGGACGCTGTTTGCGCCGAGCGATGCTATATAAAATGTACGTTAAATGTCGTCCGTAATGTATGGTGGCGCGTAGTAGCCGCCACTAGTGGCTCTATAGACGGGCGGCCTAAGTGATTGAAAAAATCGTGCGCCCGGTGGTGATTGTCACCCCTACTTATAACAGTTGCAGTGCCACTCAGAGCTTTTCAAAAAAATCTGAGAGACACTGCCACAACACACGTCATCCTGACACATAAAGTTGACAAGTCCTATTTTACTGTAAATACCGGAATACTATAATGCTCACTATATAACATATATAACAAACAATCTTGGCTTATCTAATATAAATGTTTCGAATTCTATTGACTTTAATTATTCAAAGTTTTTTGAAAAACAATTGTACTATTAGAATCTAAATTATTATACTTTAAGAAGCGGTAGAGTTTTCGTTGAAGAAACGCTCGGAAAAGTATGACAATAAATACAATAAAATGCCAGCAACCACATCAATTACCCTGGTCTCAAACTATTGAATTCCCTGCTGAATGATTAGGAACAAGCAACGGAATTCGCGTCAGGAAGCTACCTATATGCTACCTACTTCGATGTTTGTAGGCATGAGAGAGATAAGCACAGACAAAGGAGACTTTTCATTTCTGTACGATCACCGACAGTGCAATTTTAAAGATACTTCCTTAGCATCGTGAATAGATTTGAATAAACGTTCTGTCGTGTGCTTGATGTCGTACTCATAACTTAATTCCACGTACCGTTTTTTTACAGAATCCCAATATTTTTGAAGAATCTGGAAACAGAATAGCAACTTTATTATATTATGTAAGTATTAGCACGTTTACGCATCCGATTCGTATTAGTTCCAAATTCGAGACTATATCCAATTTGAACTCTTCGGACACCTGTGACATTTCGGACCTCATTTCTCGAATTCTGAAACGAATCGGACGTAGTACGCAAACCTCTTGGTCTTTCGCATTTGTGGACAAATCACAATTGACAAAATGGCTTTTGATACATTGCTTCTGTCGTAATAAAGAAAATTTAGAATTTTCAAACATAGAAGTGCAATTAACGGTAGAGACCGAATATGAAATACTATTAAAATTTGCAGATCCGCTTGGAGGTTGAATACACTGTTAGGAACATTTTACTTAAGACTTTTATCATTACTGTATTCGGGCAAATAGACGTAATTTGTTCTAAGTGCAAACACATGTCTTTATTTATATTGATTTACTGTTACAAGTGCTATATCTCATGGACTTGCATTGACGCAGATGTCAGATGTGAGTCACGGCGGAGCGACTGTCTTTCCTCAACTCGATTTGGCAGTGAAGCCGAAAAAGGGAACAGCCTTATTCTGGATGAACCTGCTTCCTTCTGGAGAACACGACACCAGAGTAGCACACGCGGCGTGTCCTGTGTTACACGGGAATAAGTGGCGTACGTATTTGCCATGGTTTTTCTAACGTTGAGAAAATTTCTTCTTGAATTTTCTGCCAACTTTAAACTTGAGAATCAAGTTAAAGAAGACATATGATCATTGCTTATCGGTGTTACAAATAATGTAACTTTCGTTCATATTAATCTCAACATTGAAGAAGTCATCACTTAGTATCATAAAAAAAACTTGGCAAGTGTTAACGAGGCTTAAAATGAGATGCCAAAATGTAAATTGTGTTACATTCAAAAAGAAATATTAACATAGCCTGTTTACGTATATTTAAAAATTCATATCTTTTACTTTCACCAACTTAGTTTAAAGTTTTATAAATAAAACTTTTATTATTCTTTAACGGATACTTAGATGAATATAAATTTTCAACCGGTTGCGACTAAAAAAGCGAGTCGAAAATAGGCATTATAATTTTACGTGTAACTTTCCAATTTACAGTGTCTACACTATGGTTTCACGAATCAGGTCAGGAACTCTTGTGGCCGTGTCCTCTGATGCAAGAAATCAAGTAGTGTACCTAGTAAATATGCACAAATTGTGGGGTCAAATTTATTGTAAATGTCACAAATAAAATTAAGAAAACACTCTAACAGCAGTTTTGTTTTATTGCCTCATAACCGCTTTATTAGGAAATTGTAACAACGCGAGTCCGAAGCTGATCTAGGTTGTAAATTTATGATCTTCTCTGTCATATCTGTTTTATTGAATAAAGTTTATTTGTTTTAGATTATTAAATATCATATGATCAACATGGCTGTTATTTGCTTGCATAGGTGGTGCTTTTGTCACCGTTATCAGAAGGCGCGTTGTTGAAGAAAATACCATTTTAATATTTAAAACAAACAGGTCATTTCTAACTAAAATTTTATTATTACATTCCTTGCAATTAAATCGACTTTTTAGTGTAATTTCTGCCACGCTATGTTACAGTCTCATGCTTCTAGTATGATAGTTGTATCCCATCCTCATACAAATGTACTGCCTGCTTTGCTAACAGTATCACAGTCATTTTGAAAAACATTTGATTTCTTGAAATTCAAATTTTCTCAAGGTTAGACAAATTAATAGTTGCACCTATGTTCTTGCCGGAGATAAAAAGTATTTGTATTTTATTGCATTAGACAATGATATGAAATACTTAAGGATCTCTTTTCTCTAATTTTTTCATCAACCCTTTACACTAGAAAGACGTTAATAAGGCTTAAACTTAACTTAAATTATCTTGAAATTTCTTTCTTCTCCACCGCACACAGTGTAATCTCTATGCACTGGAATAGTTTGCGCAAGAATTGGGACCGATTTCACGTTCGTAGCCTTTAAGATTCGAAGCAAAGTGCTTATTTTACAATTTGAGTTGTTTTCAATGGTATAAAGTATTTTAAACATGCATAAACAAACGTGAACTTGGGCTTAAATTTTTTCGAAATGGCGTCTGAGGCGAGCCAACTGACGCATGTTCAGCGCTCTTGCGCAGCACAATGATCGCAAAGCCGCTGCAGGGGCCATATTACAAAATGATACTTATATTTAAAACGTGCCTCGTATATATTTTCGTACCCTTAATTAATATTTATCTATTTGTTGAATGAACAGGTAAACATAAAGGCAAAAAATAGCAGAATTATGTCGACTTGTATGTTGGCCTGTCCATAACAGTTGCAGTGCCTGAAAATCTGAGGGGCACTGCCACTGCGCCCATCACTCTAAGACAAGTTGACAAGTCTCATGTGCCTGTAATTTCACCAGCAACCTTACCCTTCAAAACCGGAACGCAGTAATGCTCACATTACTGCGTGGCGATAGAAATAGGTGAGGTGCAAGTATTTCCCTGGGCGAACTCTTTCACAAGGAACTCTATTGCTACCAAAGTTACATGATACCTATATGTACTTTGCACAAGTTGGGCATGCAAAAGTTTCCCCTAAGCGGCTTAAAACAGGAATAGTGACTGGCCTACCAACTAGTTAAAAAAACTGATTTTTTTTATTTAACTCATGGGCTTGTTTTCCCGAATGTTTCTACGTGGGTACAAAATGAAGTTTCTAAAAGCAAAAGTTGGTTTGGACGCCATATAGATCCAATAAAACGCCTTATTAATCGATAACAGAAAAAACAAGGGTTTCAATTACTAAGCTAATGCCGTGAAATAATGGTAATTTGTCGGACTCGAAATAACAAAGATTATGTTCAACCATTCACGCGATGTTTATTTCTTTTTTTTAAGAGACGCTATGCAAAAAAGTATCAATAACAAAGTCAGTTATACATTTTTTATTTGCTCTTCATAAATAAATAAATTATGATGAACATTGTACGTGTTTTGAAAATTTGTGTTTTCTTGCTTTTAAATATTGTTAAATGTGAAGTATTTACCTCCATCGAGAACGTAAAGGCCTTATTAAAAACACACAACAACGTTTTTAAAAACTTGAAGCAGTATATTGACAAAGAGGAGAAGAGACTTGCGATCTTGAAAGGGTACAAAGTATAAATATTTTTCAGATTATTTGCCTTCATGTTGCTCACTACACAAGTTTCTTTTAGTTTTTCTTAGCTACATCTGTTAAATGCTTAAGTATATTCCATTTCAGGTACCTACAAACATTTACAATTGAAAATGAACTGGCAAACAAAAATACACTAAAGTATGTAGAGAACCCAATCAATGCTGTCACTTTGATACAAAGGCTGTCAATTGATTTTGAACAAATAAAAAAGGTGGCTTCAGAACCAACAAGTAAGTTTGTAGAAACGTCTGCAATTATTATGAATAGTTTGACCTACTAAGACCCCGTGTACATAAAAATAAACGAATTACTTATATGCGAAGTGATTAAAACCCAGAGAATGATATTCCTATGATCACGTAAACGCCAAGTGTATATTGTAATGAAAATATTACATTTAAATTTAGCGCCATAATTCTTTTTTTGTTGTTTTATCCATAACAATTGTAGTGCTACTCAGAGCTCTAAATCACAAATATCTGAGGGACACTGCCACTGCGCCCGTCATCCTGTGACATAAGTAGACAAGTCCCATGTGCCTGTAATTTCACCAGCACCCTTAACCTTTAAAATCGGAACACAGTAATAATGACTTGGCGGCAGAAATAGGTAAGATGGCGGTACTTCTCTGGACGAATTCTTTCACAAGGGGCTCTGTTGCTACAGAAAATAATGTATGAAAATTAGTAGCGACGGGGCTACAGCAGCGCCACTTCTATATGCGTCTAATTTGACGGCGTCCTAAATAAAATACTCTTTTTGCCATTAGACTACACGTGGGATCAGAATTTTCTATATCCATCCAAGGAGGATTTAACCGGTGCAGCCATGTCTATATCCAGGTTGCAAAGAATCTACATGTTAAATACTACAGATCTCGCTGAGGGAAAGCTGGTGGCCACTTACAGGTATTAATAGCTTATTTTAAAAAAATGTATTTAAAAACTGGTTTTGTTGTTTTGGTTTTTGAATAAATGTCTTCTGGGCGAGCTCGTTCAATCGTAGAGCATCTTTAGGTTAGATTAGGTTACTGGTGAAAAGTAGGTAAATCCATTTGAAATAAAAAAGTAATTCACTTTTTTCAAACAATTTATTTTTATTTTGAAATCACGAATTTAATGTCATTATAAATATATACGTCTTTAATATTGGTTTTTAAAATATTTACTATGTTTTTAGGCAAGACCAAAATATTATTCCAGAAATGTTGTAAGTATTAAACACGACTTATAATTGTTTTTCTTTCAAAATGAATGTTTTTTGGCTAATGCATGTTATTTTAAAAGACCGCCCGTACATATGATTTCATCTTATTTTGGATATTATCGGAATAAACTTAATGATATTTAATCAAAACGATTAAAAAGTATCGATGGATAAAGTTTTAGCTAATTACCCGTTAAATTATTTCGTTTTGAAATTATACGCGTTCAAAAACTTGTCAATTAACACACATTTATGTATTTTTTTAAAGACAAAATTATGTAATATTTTGGAAAACTTTGATCCTAGGAAAACTTTTTTCTATATCTATGCACCCACCATGCGATCTGGGGCGTCTCTATAAAGTTGTATCAATGCTAAGGAAAAAAAATGTCACAATAGTAGTTTCTCGACACTATCGTTAGTACGGAAAGTAATAGGAAGATTTCAGCATGTATTTTGTATCATACAGACCAAATTCTCTGTGTTTCAGTTCTCCTATGACAGCCAATGATTGTTACAACTTAGCACTTAAGCTGTATGAAAATGGAGATTACTTGTACGCTATCGAGTGGTTCTCAGAGTCGCTCGACAAACTCGAGCGTATGGGTGGAAATCAGACTTACCCCTTCACAGCTATAGAAATCATTGAACGCATCGAGAAGACAATTGAACTGTTCGAAGTAATTATAGGTTAGTTTTAGGGGTATATTCCAGAAATTTCCTTTAACGTAGTACTTGCTCCTATGGATTTCATGTGAAAAAAAGTCAAAATGTTACGGTTTGCACCAAGTGAGGATGTCTTAGTGGGAATTTGTGGAGTATACCATTTAAAAAATTCAAAAGACAAACTCTGAATAAATTAAACTAGTTGTAACCCTATTCTATTGACTAAAGCCCTAAGATGATTACAGGCACATATTGCTCATTGTATATTTGAAAAAATAATTGTAACTATATAATGCTTACTTATATTAATTATTATATTATAATAATATAATTATTAATCAAATATCTTATAATTATTTATATGATTAATTGGACACATTACGACTATCATCTAAGTATTCATGTAATGTATATTAACTCTTAGCCACTAAATATGTGTTTAGGTATGTTTTAATAAATGCAGCGACAGTACCAGCCAAGCCAGCAAACGCTTGCATCCTATATGATGGGCCTGAACTTGATGCTTGCTGAGAAGCATGCGCTATTCAGACTTTTCAAATGAAGTGAAGTGAAGTGAAGTTTCATTCAAACACTTTAAAATAATCCAATCCTTTGCATTCGCCTATATCGGCCAATAAACAGCCGTACATGGCACAATTCACAACGATCATAAATAGTAACGTATTATTCCTAATTTTTTAATTTAAACTATTCACACATTCACGGGTCACCAACAGCCTTGTTGCCATTTCATCCATGTAGCCGTCAATAGGCGGGGCACGAGGTGGTATCTTAAGCCAGGGAGGGGCGGAGAGTGACCTTTCTCGTTACATATTTATTCTCAAATGTCGGCGTAACAGTCGATCAGTCTAGGGCGTGCGTTATACTAATATGTTAAGCAGTAAAAGAAAATCATGTTGCAGACTCGAACTCAAAACTTTGTTTAAATATTTTTTTTTTTTTGGCAGGTTACAAAGATTTTATGACTGAGCTGTATATATGGATAACAAAAATATACAATTTTTTTAATGGTAATGATAAAAACGTAATTAGAAGCCCATATTACACTATTTTCGACGACTTTCGAGATTCAGTAAGTGATTCCAGCTGTCCTTACACGTGTAATTCTTAGAATAAGTCGCACTGTATATTTATTGACGAGCAGACATTATACCATATGTAAGAGCTAGTTACTTGTAGATTTTCGTGCCTCGTGATCGTGCTCTTGATATAAAGAAATCGCATCATATGTTAACAGTGTTTTTATCATACGAATAGTCATAAAAATACGAAGGTCATACAGAAAATAAGTTCCGTTTTTCGTTTTTAAATCGAGTTTGTATGTAATATAAACTACTTGCGACAAATTATGTATATGGTAAGTAAAATAGAGATCAAAATAACTTAATTAACGATAAAATAATTTGAAAAGGCGTAACCTGACATTATTTATTATTATCGGGATAAAAATAGAACTAAGCCAATATAACTACTTGGAATATATTTTTCCCACTAATTCTTTTATTATTGAGGTATAATTTAATAGAACAACTGCAACAAAAAGTCCCAGTAGGTCTATAATAGAATCTCTTCTATTTAAGCATAAAAAAATTATCAACTAACAATCTTCAAACTTTTATCCTGAAAACTCGCCATTTTTACAGATGTGACTTTATTACACCAAGGCGGAATGGTGGAATATACGAAATGGTTATTATTCTTAGCTAAAACCGAATACAAAGATCCGACAACAAACACACAGAAAAATTCGTGAGGTCCTCTGGTTCGTTCCGTGGCTTAGTTGGCATAGCGTCTGCCACGTACGTCGGTTCGAGTCCGAGTCTGTTTTTCACTTGGAACCACTTTTATAAGATGATATGGCACGAAAGTAGTAATGTTAGTTAACACTAAAATTATAATACGTAACTTAAAACTGAACTAAACACAAGTATTAAAATTACTAAGAATAGGAATTATTACATGAATTGAATGTTTGAAATACTGCACTTGTTAGACATTTTTGTAAAAGAAACTAGAAAAGGCTGCCATTGTTGCCGCAAGCAACGAATTCTGCAAGAATTTCTTTTGTTTAATTTGCTGAAATTAAAAGCTTTGAGTGGCACTGCAACTGTTTTGAATAGGCATGTCGCTTACCACAAGGCACACGACCTGTTCGTCCCATCACTTGGTAGGTATTATTATTATAAAAAAAACCTTTCTTAAGTGAATAAAAATAAACAAAATTGTTACCTAGCCACTAGGTAGTAATTGTTATACTTTTAACCGATTTTAAAAAAGGAGGAGGTTCTCAATTCAACGATATTTTTTTATATGTATGTTACGCGATAACTTCTAAAAATTCGTGAACCGATTTTGATGATTATTTTTTTGTTGGAAAGAGGGTACGTCAATATTAGTCCCATTTCAATTTGAAGAAAATGTTCCGTCTGTAAGCGTGGCAAACTAGGGGATGAACGGTTTCGCGTACTTTCCAGTAACCGATTCCAATAAAACTTGGCAAATAGATGTAATTCCACGTACTTTTGAGGTCGGTTTTTTAACTTAAAAGAATGAATGACAGGTTGCGCAGGCGAAAGCATTTGGTAATCGCACTGTAGAGTCCGTAGTTGGTTTTTTGAGATCTATATAGCGAAACGGAGTACGTCGTACTATGAATTACGTCCAACTATCATCATTCATCATCGTAAAATATCAATAAATAATTTGAATAAATTTGTAGGTTCTTCTGATGAACAGATATACCGAACTATGTCGCGGTACCACGAACATCTCTTTAACTACTACAAGCAAGTAATGTCACTTCGTATAGTTTTCTGTGGTGTACATGGGACTCACATTGTATTTACTAATTTATTTGTCACGTACCGCAGCTTACACTGTTCGTATTTAAAGACCAACACATTTCTAAGTATCGCACCGATAAAAATGGAGGAATTACACAAGGATCCAGACATTTACCTATTTCATGAAGTTCTAAGCGATAATGAAATTGAGATTTTAAAGGAAATGGCGTCTCCTAAGGTATGGCAAGATAAATTATCTTTAACCTCTTAGAGAGCGTTCCCATTATATCGTAACGTCTTATTTATCGTCAGCCGACTGTCGCGTCTAACGAGCGGGCCCAGGCCTTTGGTAACCTCCTAGACCTAACCTAAAATCCGGTAAAATGTCCTTGATATTACATTCATTACATACTATAGACTCAAGCAAGTTTTATATGAAAAATTACTAGTTCTAGATAACGATACAGGAGCTAGCGCAGGACCGTGGGATGTGGCATAAAAACTTGCGAGGCCTATACCCAGCTGTGGGTGAAGTCAGGCTGTATATATGATGATGAGGAATAGTATTGTATGGGTCATTAGGTCGTGTAGCTCGGACGCAGTCAATTGACTTGGTAGTGTGTATAGAGTGGAGTCGAGTAGACTCTTTATTTTGTTTATATTTGTGTTAACTTGCTTGGTGTTATTGTAAACCCGTCATGTGTCCTAGAGACACATGGGGTCCCTAACGATTTTCTTATTTTTTGAAGTTTTTTGAACTTTTTTACAAATTCATGCTTAGTTGGCACAGCAACTGGCACAGTTTACTAGAAGTCGCTGGTTCAAATCCAAAAGGATTTTTTCTTAGTGTTCATCTCTGTATTAATAATTATAATTATCCACATATAATAAATAATTTGAATACAAACACAAAAGAAATATCTGTAACGAGCATGGTTTGCTGGAAGGCATTGGTTCGAATCCAATCGAATCCAAAGAATTTTTTCTTTGTGTTCTTTTTTTTTTTTTTTTTTTTTTTTTTTTTTTATACATGACAGGCAAATGACTCCACTCCACCTGATGTTAAGTGGAAAGTGGTATCCAAACGCGAAGGAACCTAGTGCAGCGATGGAATCCTCACTGCACTAGCCACCTCCACCCTGCCTGCCTACAATATGCCTCTTCACGCCTCGTTTGAAGGACCCCATATCATAAGAGGGAGGGAAGACATGTGCCGGAAGGGAGTTCCATTTGTCAACCGTGCGGCAGAGAAAGGAGCCACCGAACCTTTTAGTACGCGATGGAATTCGGCAGGTAGTGAAACGGTGACTACGAAGGCCAGCACGCGTGGTTCTGAGCAGGAACGGGGAAGGGGGGATGAGGTTAAACAGCTCTTCAGAGCACTCACCATGGTACATGCGGTAAAAGGCGCTAAGCGATGCAACATCTCTACGCAGTTGCAGAGGTTCAAGGCGTGATGAGACCTCTTCGTCGCCTATGATTCGAGTAGCACGACGCTGTAATTTATCCAAGGCATCGAGTAAGTACTTGGCGGAGCCGTCCCACAAGTGCGAACAATACTCAACGCAAGACCGGACCTGTGTTTTGTACAGCAGGCATAACTGGTCCGGCGTGAAAAAACGTCGCACCTTGTTCAGGACTCCGAGTTTCCGTGAGGCTGTTTTGATCACAGATTCGATATAGCTCCTTGGATTCAAATCACAGCAGATTTCCATACCGAGCAAGGTAAAACTGCTCTGAGGTTCAATTGTATTCAAAATTATAATAAAGAGGTAGAGTAATTTCACCAAAATAATTGAATATCATTGTGGTTAAACACCATGACAGTCAATGAACTTAAAAATTACAAATAAGATTAACTATAGACATGGAAATTTGTATTCGCGAGCAGTCCCGTATCTTCGACGTCTGTTTTGATTGTAGTCACTCTCCCTATCAACCTCTTGGTTATGCGGGTAGGGCACTATAACCTGAGCAAGCACAGGAACCTTCAAAGTTCAGGGCCTGACCCCTGATCAGCCCGTGTACAGCGTTGTTATTGTATTTGTGGGTATCCCGTTGGAGGGGCTAGTTAATTGATAACACCTTTCTGTTGGGAACTCACTATTTAATTTTATT